TCAATTACAGAACTTCTGAAACAGAGAAAACAAAAAACAGTGGGAAAGAAATCAACAACAAAGTAATTTAAGAAATCTTTTCAGAAAAGAAGGGTATGAGTTTTCACACTAAAAGGACCCAAGCAGTGCCCAGCACAGTGGACAAAAATAGATTCATACCACAGCACATTCAACATGAAATTCTGGTTTAGGGCCAAGGAGTAATTTTAAAAGCTTCCAGAGAGAAAACAAAAAAAACAAGTTATACACAAAGGATAAAGAATCAAAATAGCTCTGGACAGATCAAGAGCAACACGGGAAGGCAGGGGATAATGGGGTAATGCCCTCAAACTTCTGAAGCCAAATGAATTTCAGCCTAGAATCTATGGAGCCAAATTATCAATCCAGTGTGAAGATATAAAAAAGATATATTTGAACAGGTACAATTTCAAAAACTTTACCTCCTGTAATAGGCCATTTTTGCATTGCTATAAAGAAGTACCTTAGGCTGGGTAATTTATAAGAGGTTTATTTTGGCTCACAGTTCCAGAAACTGTACAAGCATGGCACCAACATCTGCTTGTCTTCTGGTAAGGTCTCATGGAGCTTCAACTCATGGCAGAAGATGAAGAGAGAACAGGCGTATCATAGCAGGAGTGGGAATAAGAGAGATAGGAGAGGTCCCAGGCTCCTATTAACAACCAGATCTTACATAAACTAACTGGGCAAGAACTCACTCATCACCAAGGGGATGGCACTAAGTTATTCTTCCCCCATAATCCAAACACCAGACCCTACCTCCAACACTGGGGGATTATCTTTCTTTCTTCTTGTTTTTTTTTTTTTTTTCCTGAGATGGAGTTTTACTCCTGATGCCCAGGCTGGATTGCAATGGTGCAATCTCGGCTAACTGCAACCTCTGTCTTTCAGGTTCAAGCGATTCTCTTGCCTCAGCCACCCAAGAAGCTGGGATTACAAGCACTGCACCACCAAACCCAGCTAATTTTTTTTAATTTAGTATAGGTTTAGTTTTCACCATTTTAGTCAGGCTGGTCTCAAACACCTGACCTCAGGTTATCCACCCTCCTCAGCCTTCCAAAGTGCTTGGATTACAGGTGTGAGCCACCTTGCCCAGCCTGGGGATTACCTTTCAACACAAGATTGGAGGGGACAAACGTCCAGACCATATTACCTATGAACACTTTTTTAAGAAAACTATTGGAAGATAAGCTCCAGCAAAATGAGGGACCAACAAAAAGAGAGACATAGGATAGAGGAAACCTATCCGAGGAAGGACGGAAGTAAAGGATGCAAGCTGGGCCATTTGGACTAGAGAAGTTCAGAGAACTCAGGAGTATTCAAGAATGTGACATTGATAGCATGTCTGATGTGAATGAATATTTGAGATATTATTTAGACAGCTGGAGAAGTGCTTGATGTTAAAAGTATACACACATGGGAAATAACATTGGATTCAAAAACAGTAAAATTATTAATGTTGATAAAATGAGTCAAACTCTGTATATGAGAAGAGATTTATTCTGAGCCAAATATGAGTGACCATGGCCCATGACACAGCCCCCAGCCTGAGAATATGTGTCCAAGGTGGTTGGGGTACAGCTCGGTTTTATGTATTTTAGAAAGGCATGAGACATCAATCAAATACATTTAAGAAATACATTGCTTTGGTTCAGAAAGGCAGGACAACTCAAAGGTGGGGCTTCTAGGCTATAGATAAATTTAAACACTTTCTGGTTGGCAATTGGTTGGGTTTATCTGAAGACCTGGGATTAATGGTAAGGAATGTTTTGCTTAAGGTAAAGGATTGCGGAGACCAAGTTTTATCGTGCAGAGGAATCGCTTAGGTAGCAGACTTCAGAGAGACAACAGGTTTCTTTTCAGGCCTAAATGGGTGCCTAGCTCTTAGTTGATTATCTCTTGGATATGAGAAGGAAGGAAGGAAGGAAGGAAGGAGGGAGGAAGGGAGGGAGGGAGGGAGGGAGGGAGGGAAGGAAGGAAGGAAGGAAGGAAGGAAACCTTTTTATTGATACATACAGAAGATACACAATTATATGTAATTCTTACAAACACATCCCATGTCTACTACTTAGATCAGAGAAGTTCTGACTTCTTAAGAAAAACCACTCCCTGCATTCCTATTCTTTATCTCATAATCCCATTTATTTCATAGCATAAGCTGTAGGTATATATTTATTTGGACGTTGACATCTTTGTTCTCTCTCTCCCTCTCATACATAAATTCCACAAGTCAAGCTCCTTGTCTTTATTCATTGTTTTATACTCGATGTCACTGTATGTTACACACAACAATATATCTCTGAATAAATACAGGCATATGTTGCTTAGTAACAGGGATACATTCTGAGAACTGTGTCGTTAGGCAATTTGTCATTGTATAAACATTGCACAGACCTAAATGGCATAGCTCACTATACCCCTAGGCTATATGGTACAGCTGATGGCTCCTAGACTACAGACCTGTGCAGCATGCTACTCTACTGAATACTGTAGGCAACTGTAACATAATGGTAAGTATTAGTGTATGTAAACATAAAAATGCACAGCACAAATATAATCTTATGAGACCATGATCATATATATGGTCTGTCATTGACTGAAATGTCATTACATGATACATGACTGTATTGTTAAATGAATAAATGAACACAAGGCCACAAATAGGATTAAATGGTGCAGCCGCTAAGAAACTTAAAACTGGATGATAACAATTATAGATATTGTTTTGCCTTATGCTCTTTGGATGTCAAGCTTATGTAATAAGGAATATGCCTGTGATCTTATCTTTACAAGTAGAACATTTAGTACAATGCCTGAAACACAAGGAAACAATCCATATATGTTAGATGTCTACATGTTTTCCCATACTATACCAACTATCACAGTTTGGGACACAGGCACTTTCTACATAGGAATGTGGTCTTCTTTTAAAACACACACACACACACACACACACACACACACACTTTTTAAATTGTAAATAGTGGGATTGGCAATATCTTGCCACCTAAACCAGTACCTCTAGGCACAGATGCTATTTACCAATACCTAACTGAGGAGGAAGTGAGGAATTAGCACAGTCAAAACTGGAAGGTCTTTGATATATTTCTGTGTTAATACATTGTCGCTCTTCTCTGCATCCCTCACTAATAACCCTCATTTAAGACCTCTAGTGTCTCCTGCTTTTCTGAGCCCTTCTTCTTACCAGATTAGGAAATGACTCTAGACTCTACATCATTTTACTCCTCCATTGATTACACTTCAGGATGAATAAGTGCTTTCCTTTCCATTAATGCATCCAACATAATTGTGCCCCATCTTTTATCTGTAACCACATGTATGATATGGTTTAAATTTTTTGTCCCTGCCCAACTCTCATGTTGAATTGCAATCCTCAAATTCGGAGGAGGAGCCTGGTGGGAGGATATTGGATCAAGGAGGCAGATTTCTCCTTTGCTGTTCTCATGACCATGAGCAAATTCTCACAGATCTGGTTGTTTAAAAGCATGTAGTACCTCTCCCTACTCTCTTCCTCCTGCTCTGGTCATGTAAGCCATGCCTGCTTTCCCTTTCCCTTCTACCATAACTGTTAAGTTTCCCAATGTCTCCCCAGTCATGCTTCCTGTACAGCCTGCAGACCCATGAGCCAATTAAACCTCTTTTATTTACAAATTAGTCAGTCTCAAGTATTTCTTTATAGCAGTTTGAGAACAAACTAATACACCATAGAAAGAAAAATAGTCTTGTTCTATTTAAAGCAGAGAGTTTCAAACATCTCCCTCAAAAAGACTGTGTTCAGGGATAAGTCCCCTCAGAGGCTCCCCTTCACACACACGAAAGAGGGGAATGGTGCCTGCAGGGTATGTCTGTGCCCTTTCTCCAAACTCCATGCTAGAACAACACCTTCTCTCTGTGTAGACCCTAGTCTCTGCTGGGGTTCAGGTATGCCATGGAACTCAGAGGCGGGCTTCCCCAGAATCTTGGCAGGAGGAAACAACCAGCCTGCAAAGGGCATGTGAGCATAGACAGAAAACTGGTCGTAATGAAAGGAGAAATGGGGTGGTCAGAAGAGGAGGGTGATCCTGAGAATCACATAGTGGCTGTCAGTGAGGTTTTTCCTCTGATCTATCCCCCATTGACTCTAGCCTAGGTCAAGGGCAAGAAAGGCATGGAACTCAACCTAAACAAGCTCGTTCACTTAAGATTCTGTAAACCATTGAAGCCTCTCAGTGGAGGTCAACACAAGAGGGAGAGGTGCCCTCCACACTTCCCCTCTCTGAGCTCTAGCACACCTGCAGCAGTCTCTAGTGGAATATGATGGAACCAAGAGGCAGGCTAGCGAGAAGGAAGAAACAGCAGATGCTGCGTGAAAGCTGACCAGACTTGCTTTTGACCACACATTAGATACATTTCAGGACCTCCAGAAATGCTTGAGGAAACATCACAGGGGCTGGGATCTGTAACAGTCAAATGGAGGCAAAATCATCAACTGCTGCTCTTATGTTCAAAGCACATGGTGGGGCTGCGGACAAGAACTGTATGGCTTTTTGTGAATCACACCATCTAAGGTTTCAGCTACATCCCACCTACTAACCAGCATTTTCTTCTTTTCTCCTCTCCCCATCACCTGAAGACTGTGCACTATCTGTGGGCAAGGTTGGCCTGTGTCTTCCCACCCACGCAGTTACTGCCAAGAGGAGGTGCTCAATAAAGGTGTGTGGAATGGAATGAATGAACAGAGGAATGGAATTGAACCAGTTTGGTACAAGAAATCATTGTGCAAATTTTAAGGTAGAGGACATTTCTGATGTTTACTTTCAATGTATGCAACAAGAAGGTAAGCTTAAAACTAGGTGCTACCAGTTATCTGCTCTTTCTTTCCATGCCTAGTAGGATTCCACTGCTAAATGTACAGATAATTCCCATATTCATTGCTGATTCCCTGTCTCTTTCCAACCTTGTAGTGATGACATGGCAGAAGGGGCTAGAGGAGGAAAAGCCATGTCCAAGCAGAACAGCTCTGTACAAGGCAGTTCTTCCTTAAGCACAGTTTGCCTAAATAGCTCTGGACTGGGATGGTGCCCTGGAAAGGTATTTGTGGGGTTTGGGGTGAGAACTTACCACTGTACCTGCTAGTGGGGGCCTTGAGCCTGTTACATAGAAAGGAGAATCATTTGGTGAGTGACTGGGGTTTATGTTTAAGCATCTCTGTTTACTAACTGCATGACCAGGTGCAAATTTCCTAACTTCTCTGGGTCTCATTTGCCTGCTTTCCTAAGATACGATAATAATGTCGATCTTACCTACACCACCTATTGTTAAATCAAATAAGAAAATTATATACTAATTTACATGTAAAAAGAGTACATACACACACACGCATACACTAGAGTTAGACTATTACGAGAAAAGACAATTCTTGCAGAAATCGGAGAGAAAGTCTGTTTTAGTTGCTTGGAATTGTCCTACTTTATTGCAACCTTGATATGGACATATTCCAATCACTTTTTTTTTCTAAGTCAAACTTTCAGGGCCTATTAAACACCTTTGAGAACAATGTCCTTTGTCTTTTCAGCCAGTCATTTCAGCACTAAATCGAAACAAGTTCATGTTGTAAAAGAATAAAAAACAACTTTTTATTTGCATTAGTTACTGATCAGTGGAGTAATGGCCTACATTTGTTCACACAAAGACCTAATGGATAACTTTTAAAAACAACATTGTGACCAAGAAGTACTTAGATTTAGAAACCATTAAATATTATAGAATAGAATAATCCAAAAGCACTTAATCATCCTGTAGCTTTTTAAAAAAATCTATAGTTGGGATTCATTCTTCATATGCTTTTATTTTTATGCAATCCCTACAAGCTCCAGGCTCTGTGTTTTTCTCTTCTAGTGAATATTTATTCCTTAAGTCTGTGTCATAGTCCACCATGGTCTAATTTGCCCCAAAGTCAAAATGCTCTCTTGATCATTGTACACAGAATTAATCAAGACTGACAGGTGCAATAAGCACTATTAATGGTGCTTATTGCTTACACAAGAGAGAGGAGGAGTGCTGGGCTTGGCTGTCGGGTGTTTTTTCAAACTGGAATAAAAGGATCACTGCCAAAACATGGAAAGTTGTTCACAAGCTTTGCAGGTAAGTTGTTCACAAGCTTTGCAGCTTTTATTTTTCTGATTTCAGTAGGTTTTGGGGGAACAGGTGGTGTTTCATTACATGAATACGTTCTTTAGTGATGATTTCTGAGATTTTGTCTGTTAACTCTGCTGATTATTTCTTTTGCTGTGCAGCAGCTTTTGAGTTTAATTAAGTCCCACCTATTTATCTTTGTTTTTGTTGCATTTGCTTTTGCGTTCTTCATCATGAAGTCTTGCCTAAGCCAATACCTAGAAGGGTTTTTCTGACATGATCTTCTAGAATGTTTATGGTTTCAGATCTTCGATTTAAGTCTTTGATCCATCTTGAGTTGATTTTTGTATAAGGTGAGAGATGAGGATCTAGTTTCATTTTCCTACATGTGGCTTGCCAATTAACCCAGCACCATTTGTTGAATAGGGTGTCCTTTCCCCACTTTATGTTTTCATTTGCTTTGTCAAAAACCAGTTGACTGTGCATATTTTGCTTTATTTCTGGGTTTTCTATTCTGTTCCACTTGTCTATGTTCCAATTTTTATACCAGTATCATGCTGTTTTGGTGACTGTAGCCTTACAGTATAGTTTGAAGTCAGGTAATGTGATACCTCTAGATTTGTTCCTTTTGCTTAGTCTTTCTTTGGCTCTGTGGCTCTTTTTTGGTTCCATATGAATTTAAAAACTGTTTTTCCTAGTTATATGAGAAATGACGGTGGTGTTTTGATGGTAACCGCATAGAATTTGTAGATTGCTTTTGGCAATATGGTCATTTTCACAATATTGAATCCATAAGCATAGGATATGTTTCCATTTGTGTGTCATCTATGATTTCTTTCAGCCGTTTATTTGTAATTTTCCTTTGTAGAGCTCTTTCATGTCATTAGTTATGTGTATTCCTAAGTGTTTTTATTTTTGCAGCTATTGTGAAAGAAGTTGACTTCTTGATTTGATTCTCAGCTTGGTCGCTGTTGGTATACAGCAGAACTACTGATGTGTGTACATTAATTTTGTATCCAGAAACTTTGATGAATACATTTACCAGATCTAGGAGTTTTTTGGATGAGTGTTTACAGTGTTCTAGGCATACAATCATATATACCATCGGCAAACAGAGACAGTTTGACCTCTTCTTTACCAATTTGGATGCCCTTTCTTTCTTTCTCTTCTCTGATTGTTCTGGCTAGGACTTCCAGTACCATGTTGAATAGAAGTGGTGAAAGTGAGCATCCTTGTCTTGTTCCAGTTCTCAGGGGGAATACTTTCAAATTTTCCCCAGTCAGTATAATATTGGCTGTGGGTTTGTCATTGATGGCTTTTATTACCTTAAGGTATGTCCCTTCTATGCTGATATTGCTGAGGGTTTTAACCATAAACAAATGTTGGATTTTGTCAAATGCCTTTTCTGCATCTACTGAGATGATCATATGATTTTTATCTTTTTAATTTTGTGTGGTATATCACATTTATTGACTTGTATATGTTAAACCATCTATGCATCCTTGGTTTGAAACCCACTTGATCATGGTAAATTATCTTTTTGATATGTTGTTGGACTTGGTTCGCTAGTATCTTTGTTGAGGATTTCTGCATCTATGCTCATCAGGGATATTGGTCTGTAGTTTTCTTTTTTTGTTATGTCCTTCCCTGGTTTTGGTATTAGGGTGATACTAGTTTCATAGAATGATTTAGGGAGGATTCCCGCTTTCTCTATCTTTTGGAATAGTGTCAATAGGATTGGTACCAATTCTTCTTTGAATGTCTGATAGAATTCAGCTGTGAATCCACCTGATCATGAACTTTTTTTTTGTTGACAATTGTTAAATTACCACTTCAATCTCACTGCTTGTTATTGTTATGTTCAAAGATTCTATGTCTTCCTCGTTTAATCTAGGAGGGTTATTTCTCCAGGAATTTCTCCATCTCCACTACATTTTCTAGTTTATGCATGCATGTAAAGGTGTTCATAGTAGCCTTGAATAATCTTTTGTATATATGTGGTATGAGTTGTAGTATCTCCCATTTCACTGCTAATTGAGTTTATTTCAATCTTCTCTGTTCTTTTCTTGGTTAATCTCTCTAATGGTCTATTGATTTATCTTTTCAAAGAACCAACTTTCTGTTTCATTTATCTTTTGTGTTTGTATTATTGTTGTTTGTTTCAATTTCGTTTAGTTCTGCTCTGATCTTTGTTATTTATTTCCTTCTGCTGAGTTTAGGTTTGAATTGTTCTTTTTTCTCCAGTTCCATGAGGTGTGACCTTAGATTGTCTATTTGTGCTCTTTTAGACTTGGTGATGTAGGCATTTAATGCTATGAACTTTTCTCTTAGCACTGCATTTGCTGTATCCAAGAAGTTTTGATAGGTTTTGTCACTATTATCATTCAGTTCAAAGAATTTTTTAAATTTTCCTCTTGATTTCATTGTTGACCCAACAATCATTCAGGAGCAGATTATTTAATTTCCATAGCTCTTAAGATTCTTTCCTTCATTTTGACTTTAGATAACCTGATGACTATGTGCCTAGGCGATGATATGTTTGTGATGACTTTCCCATGTGTTCTTTGAGCTTCTTGTATTTGCATGTCTAGATCTCTAGCAAGGCTGGGAAGTTTTCCCCAATTATTCTCTCAAATATATTTTCCAAACTTTTAGATTTCTCTGCTTTCTTAGGAACACCAATTATTCTTAGGTTTGAACATTTAACAGTCTCAAATTTCTTGGAGGTTTTTTCCATTTTTAAAATTCTTTTTTCTTTGTCTTTGATGAGTTGGATTAATTGAAAAATCTTGTCTTCAAGCTCTGAAGTTCTTTATTCTGCTTGTTTGATTCTATTGCTGAAACTTTCCAGTGCATTTTGCATTTCTCTAAATGTGTTCTTGATTTCCAGAAGTTGTGATTGTTTTTATTTATGTTCTCTATTTCACTGAAGAAGTTTCATTTCATATCCTATATCATGTTTTTAATTTTTTTAAGTTGGACTTCAGTTTTGTCTGGTGACTCCTTGGTTAGCTTAATAACTGATGTTCTGAATTCTTTTTCTGGCAATTAAGAGATTTTGTCTTGGTTTGGATCAATTGCTGGTAAGCTGGTATGATCTTTTTGGGGTATAAAGAACCTTGTTTTGTCCTATTACTAGAATTGTTTTTCTGGTTCCTTCTCATCTGGGTGGACTGTCAGAGGGAAGATCTGGGATTCAAAGGCTGCTGTTCAGATTCTTTTGTCCCACAGGGTGCTCCCTTGATGTAGTATTCTCCTCCTTCCCCTAGGAATGAAGCTTCCTGAGAGCTGAGCTATAGTGATTGTTTTTGCTGTTCTGAGTCTAGCCGCCCAACAGAGCTACTGGACTCCAGGCTGGTACTAAGGAGTGTCTGCGAAGAGTCCTGTGATGTGATCCCTCTTCAGGTCTTGCAGCTATAGATACCAGCACCTGCTTCAGTGAAGGTAGCAGGGGAGTGAAGTGGACTCTGAAAGGGTCCTTAGTTGTGTTTTTATTTAGTGTGCTGGTTTTGTGCTCGTTGGCCTCCAAACAGGAGGTAATGCTTTTAAGATCACATCAGCTGCAGTCCTATAGGGATGATGCAAACTTGCCCTAGGGACACCTGGTTAAGTATTCAGGTTTCTCAGGTGGTGAGCAGGGCTATCTAGCTATCAAGAGATTATAACCTTTATCTTCAGCTACCAGGGTAAGTAAAGAAAGACCATCACACCAGGTAGGGGCTGGATAGGCATGTCTGAGCTCAGCCTCTCCTTGGGCAGGGCTTGTTGTGGCTGCTGTGGGGGGTGGCAGTGTGGTTCCCAGTCCAGTGGAGTTATATTCCAGTGGGATTATGGCTGACTTTGCTGAGTCATACAGGTCACCAGAGAAGTGGTCACTGACCTCACCCCACTTTCACGCAGCCTACAGTCCTAAAGGCCGGTCTCACTCCCACTATGCTCTCACAACAGCATCACGTCTGGCAGCCAGTGACCAGGGCAAGCCACCCTGTGAAGAAAGCAAGGTGACTCACAGTTTTTCCATATGTCAGGGAGACCACAGCAGTAATCCTGGTCCTTCAAATGGTCTGTGGATTCTCAGCTTTTCTGGTAGGTTCCTGCAGTAGTTCTTGGAGCAAGTTTCTGATGTGAGTCTCTACATACTATGCAGTCCATTGGAGTGGGAACTAGTCCTGCCTCCTATTCACCATCTCCTTAGACTGGAGATGAGCTTTCAATGCCTCATCCTGACATTACCTGTCCCAGGTAACCAGAGATGAATTGTAAAGAGGGAGGTACACAACTCCCTGTTGTAAATGGGACATTATGATCAGCCTGTTTCCAGAAACACCATAACAGGTATTTGCCATCCCCTGGTAGGAGGCACAGCCATGTTAAGTGATGAGCACTCTTTCTATATCAACGACAAATATCAAAGCAGCTCCGAGACTTGTGCATTTTTAAAATGACAAGAAGAATATTAGCTCTATCGTCTCTACATCCCTGGAACTCAAGTAAGAAAAGAGTTCCTGATTTTTTTGTTGTTGTTGTTCATACTAAACCATAGTGGAAATGCAATGACTTCAAAAGAACAAAAATCTTTGAGAGAGAATGAGCTCATCAGGACAGGTTCTTTTTACTCAAGTCCTAAGAAAGTCATTTTTAAAACTAGGATAATAACGATTTTTCATATATCACTCTGGTTTCCTGATTGCATGTTTCAAAACATAATGTGACATAAAGCTTTAAATCATATTAACTTTTTTGTTGTTGCCGTTGCTGTTGGGATTAACATATTTGGAAAAGAGAGGCCAAAGTAATAATAATCATGTCACCCAAATTAATAGCACAACATCTGGGTTGCAACTTTTACAGATTCATCAAAACTGGAACTAAATGCACACTATCTTTGCTGACTCTGAACAATATTATTGTACTTTCCCTAAACATAGCAATGGAATCTGACATGCAGGAATCTGTGGCATCATTACCTTGGGTATGACATGCTGTTTTCATGCCTTTGGCAAATATCAGTCACCTGGCCTTGACACTCTAATTTCATCTCTACAGCTTGCCTTGCCATTGTCAACAAATGGTTCTGATTACACTTGTCCAGTTCCACTCTGGTTGAAAAGAAAATAAGCCTCTGAACAAATAAGCATGTGCTCTTCCAGGTTTGTCTTGCAAAACCTAAAATCACTCTATACTGGGGATGCTGATGGAAAGAACTCAGGCACTGGACAAACAGATGTGCGCTCAAACTCTGCTCCCCCACCCTCATGCTGGGCAACTGGTGGCAATTTTCTCAATTTCTTTGAGGGTCAATTTCCCCATCTGTCAAGCAAGGATAAAACTACCTAATTTGTCCAGAGGTGGGGGGGATTTAAACAAGAAAATGAGATAAAAGCCCAGTGTCTGGCACTAAGTAGGGCCTACTGAATTGCCCCCATCCCACCCTATCTCCCCAGAGTCTACTCTGCCCCATTCATATACAGGGTTTGTGTATATAGACAATCTTTCTTAACAACAGTTTTATCAAATGTTATTCATTCTAGCTTGGATGGAAAACCTAAGGACCCGATAAACAAGTTGTCTAGCTTATTTCCAACCATCTCTTTGGTGCCTAGAACTGTTCACAAAACATTTAGACACTCAGAAAACATTTGAAGAATGACAGAATGTAACTGCAAGCCCAGGACCACCCAAAGTTGCCTGGAAACATGGCATGCCCATGCCAGCTTTCAGTAGCTGTCTACAGCAACCAATAGTTCTTACCATCAAAGACTTTTATAAATCTTCATTTCCCATCTACCCTTCTCCCTATAAATACTAAAATTAATGATTTCATCAACAACTAATCAAGGGCTTGGATCAGCATGAAGTATCTAAAGTTACCATCCTGAATTAATCAAATTCCAGCTTAAAATAAATAAGATTCTATTTCACTGATATATTGGTTAGGTTAAAATAAGAGGAAAGAGCTGTCAAGATGGCTGAATAGGAACAGCACCAGTCTGCATCTCTCAATGAGATTGATGCAGAAGGTGGGTGATTCTTGCATTTTTGGCTGAGTGAACCTCCAACAGACTTCAGCAGACCTGCAGCAGAGGGGATTGACTGGTAGAAGCAGAATTAACAAACAGAAAGAAATAGTTTCAACATCACCAATATCAAAGACCAAAGGTAGATAAATCCATGAAGATGGGGAGAAACCAGCACAAAAAGGCTAAAAATTCCAAAAACCAGAACACCTCTTCTCCTCCAAAGGATCAAAACTCTTTGCCAGCAAGGAAACAAAACTAGTTGGAGAATGAGTTTGATGAATTGACAGAAGTAGGCTTCAGAGGTGAATAATAACAAACTCTTCCGAGCTAAAGAAGCATGTTTCAACCCAAAGCTAGGAAGATAAGAACCTGGAAAAAAGGTTAGACAAATTCCTAACTAGAATAACCAGCTTAGAGAAGAACATGACCTGATGGAGCTGCAAAACACAGCATGAGAACTTTGTGACACATATACAAGTATCAATAGCCAACTTGATCAAACAGAAGAAAGGATATCAGAGATTGAAGATCAACTCAGTGAAATAAAGAAGACAAGATTAGAGAAAAAAGAGTGAAAAAATAAAAAACTAACAGAGCCTTCAAGAAATATGGGACTATGTGAAAAGACCAAATCTACCTTTGACTGGTGAACCTGAAACTAATGGGGAGAATGGAACCAACTTGGAAAACACTCTTCAGGATATTATCCAAGAGAACTTCCCCAACCTAGCAAGGCAGGCCAACATTCAAATTCAGGAAATACAGAGAACACCACAAAGATATTCCTCCAGAAGAGCAAACCCAAGCACATAATTGTCAGATTAGCTAAGGTTAAAATGAAGGAAAAATGTGAAGGGCAGCCAGAGAGAAATATCGTGTTACCCACAAAGGGAAGCCCATCAGACTTAACAGTGGCTCTCTCAGGAGAAACACTACAAGCCAGAAGACAGTGGGGGCCAATATTCAAAATTCTTAAAGAAAAGAATTTTCAATCTAGAATTTCAAATCCAGCCAAATTAAGCTTCATAAGCAGAGGAGAAATAAAATCCTTTACAGACAAGCAAATACTGAGAGATTTTGTCACCACCAGTTCTGCCTTACAAGACCTTCTGAAGGAAGCACCAAACATGGAAAAGAACAACTGGTACAAGCCACTGCAAAAAACATATCAAATTGTAAAGACCATCAATGCTATGAAGCAACTGCAACAACTAATGGACAAAATGACCAGCTCATCATAATGACAGCATTGAATTCACACACAACAATATTAACCTTAAATGTAAATGGGCTAAATGCCCCAAGTAAAAGACACAGACTGGCAAATTGGATAAACAGTCAAGACTCATTGGTGTGCTGTATTCTGGAGACCCGTCTGACGTATAAAGATAAACATAGGCTCAAAATAAAGGGATGGAGGAAAATATACCAAGTATATGGAAAGAAAAAAAAAAAAAAAAAAAAAAAAGCAAGGTTTGCAATCCTAGTCTCTGATAAAACAGACTTTAAACCAACAAAGATCAAAAGAGACAAAGATATATATGCACCCAACACAGGAGCACCCAGATCCATAAAGCAAGTCCTTAAAGACCTGCAAAGAGACTTAGCATCACACACAATAATAGTGGGAGACTTTAACACCGCACTGTCCATATTAGATCAACAAGACAGAAAATTAACAAGGGTATCCAGGACTTGAACTCAGCTCTGGACCAAGCAGGCCTAGTAGACATCTACAGAACTCTCCACCCCAAATCAACAGAATATACAGTCTTCTCAGTAACACATCACACTTATTCTAAAATTGACCACATAATTGGAAGTAAAACACTCTTCAGCAAATGCAAAAGAGTGGAAATCACAACAGTCTCTCAGACCACAGTATAATCAAATTAGAATGCAGGATTAAGAAACTCACTCAAAACTGCACAACTACATGGAAACTGAACAACCTGCTCCTGAATGACTACTAGGTAAATAATGAAATTAAAGCAGAAATAAAGATGTTCTTTGAAACCAATGAGAACAAAAACACAACATATGAGAATCTCCAAAACACATTTAAAGCAGTGTGTAGAGGGAAATTTATAGCACTAAATGCCTACAAGAGAAAGCAGGAAAGATCTAAAATTGACACCCTAACATCACAATTAAAAGAACTAGAGAAGCAAGAGCAAACAAATTCAAAAGCTAATAGAAGAAAAGAATTAACTAAGATCAGAGCAGAACTGAAGGAAATAGAGACAAAAAACCCTTCAAAAAATCAATAAATTCAGAAGCTGGTTTTTTGAAAAGATGAAAAAAATAGAAAGACCACTAGCCAGATGAATAAAGAAAAAAGAAAGAAGAATCAAATAGATGCAATAAAAAATGATAAAGGAGATATCACCGCCTATCCCACAGAAATACAAACTACCATTAGAGAACACTATAAATACATCTATGCAAATAAATCAGAAAATCTAGAAGAAACTTCTGGACACATACACCCTCCCAAGGCTAAACCAGAAAGAAGTCAATTCCCTGAATAGACCAATAACAAGTTCTGAAATCAAAGCAGCAATTAACAGCCTAACAATTTTTAAAAAGTCCAGGACCAGATGGATTCACCACTAATTTCTACCAGAGGTACAAAGAGGAGCTGGTATCATTCCTTCTGAAATGATTCTAAACAATAGAAAAAGAGGGAATCCTCCCTAACTCATTTTATGAGGCCAAAATCATCCTGATACCAAAACCCGGCAGAGACACAACAAAAAAAGAAAATTTCAGGCCAATATCCATGATGAACATGGATGAGAAAATCCTCAATAAAATACTGGCAAACCAAATACAACAGCTCATCAAAAAGTTTGCCCACGATAATCAAGTAGGCTGCATTCCTGGGATGCAAGGCTAGTTCAACATAAGCAAATCAATAAATGTAATCTATCATATAAACAGAACCAACGACAAAAACCACATGATTATCTCAGTAGATGCAGAAAAGGCCTTCAATAAAATTCAGTAGCCCTTCATGCTAAAAATTTCAATAAACTGGGTATTGACAGAATGTATCTCAAAATAATAAGAGCTACTTATGACCAACCCAAAGCCAATACCATACTGAATGAACACAAACTGGAAGCATTTCCTTTGAAAACTGGCACAAGACAAGAATTCCCTCTCACCACTCCTTTTCAACATAGTATTGGAAGTTCTGGACAGGATAATCAGGCAAGAGAAAGGAATAAAGTGTATTCAAATAGGAAGAGAGGAAGTCAAATTGTCTCTGTTTGCAGATGACATCACTGTATATTTAGAAAGCCCCATCATCTCAGCCCAAAATCTTAAGTTGATAAGCAATTTCAGCAAAGTCTCAGAATACAAAATCAATATGCAAAAATCACAAGCATTCCTATACACCAATAACAGATAGACAGCCAAATCATGAATAAATTCCCCTTCACAAGTGCTACAAAGAGAATAAAATACCTAGGAATACAAGTTACAAGGGATATGAAGGACCTCTTCGAAGAAAACTACAAATCACTGCTCAAGGAAATAAGACAGGACACAAACAAATGGAAAAACGTTCCATGCCCATATATAGGAAGAATCAATATCATAAAAACGGCCATACTATCCAAAGCAATTTATAGATTTAATGCTATCCCCATCAAACTACCATTGACTTTCTTCACAGAATTGGAAAAAACTACTTTAAGTTTCATATGGAACCAAAAAAGAACTCATATAGCCAAGACAATTCTAAGCAAAAAGAACTGGAAGCATCACCCTACCTGACTTCGAATGATACTACAAGCCTACAGTAACAAAAACAGCATGGTACTCATACCTAAACAGATATATAGATCAATGGAATAGAACAGAGGCCTCAGAAATAATGCCATACATCTACAACCATCTTACTTTGACAAATCTGACAAAAACAAGCAATGGGGAAAGGATTCCCTATTTATTAAATGGTGTTGGGAAAACTGGCTAGCCATATGCAGAAAGCTGAAACTGGATTTCTTCCTTACACCTTATACAAAAATTAACTCAATATGGATTAAAGACTTAAACATAAGACCTAAAACCATAAAAACCCTAGAAGAAAACCTGGGCAATACCATTCAGGACATAAGCATGGGCAAAGACTTCATGACTAAAACACTAAAAGCAATGGCAACAAAAACAAAAATTGGCAAATGAGATCTAATTAAGCTACAGAGCTTCTGCACAGCAAAAGGAAGTATCATCAGCATGAACAGACAACTTATAGAATGGGAGAAAATTTTTGCAATCCATCTATCTGACAAAGGGCTAATACCCAGAATCTACAAAGAACTTAAATTGGCAAGAAAAAGACAAACAACCCTATCAAAAAGTGGGTGACAGATATGAGCAGACACTTAACAAAAGAAGAAATATATACAGCCAACAGACATATGAAAAAATGTTCATCAGTGGTCATTAGAGAAATTTTAAAAAAGTGAGACACCATATCACACCAGTAAGAATGGCATTCATTAAAAAGTCAAAAACCGGCCGGGCGCGGTGGCTCAAGCCTGTAATCCCAGCACTTTGGGAGGCCGAGGCGGGTGGATCACGAGGTCAAGAGATCGAGACCATCCTGGTCAACATGGTGAAACCCCATCTCTACTAAAAAAAAAAAAAAATTAGCTGGGCATGGTGGCACGTGCCTGTAATCCTAGCTACTCAGGAGGCTGAAGCAGGAGAATTGCCTGAACCCAGGAGGCGGAGGTTGCGGTGAGCCGAGATTGCGCCATCGCACTCCAGCCTGGGTAACAAGAGCGAAATTCCATCTCAAAAAAAAAAAAAAAAAAAAAAAAAGTCAAAAACCAACAGATGCTGGAGAGGATGTGGAGAAATAGGAACACTTTTACATAGTTGGTGGCAGTGTAAATTAGTTCAACCATTATGGAAGACAGTATGGTGATTCCTCAAGGATCTAAAACCAGAAATACCACTTGACCCAGCAATCCCATTACTGGGTATATACCTGAAGGATTATAAATCATTCTACTATAAAGATACATGCACATGTATGTTTATTGCAGCACTGTTCACAATAGCAAAGAACCAACGCAAATGCCTATCAATGATAGACTGGATAAGAAAATGTGGCACATATACACCATGGAATACTATGCAGCCATAAAAAGGATGAGTTCATGTCCTTTGCAGGGACACGGATGAAGCTGAAAACCATTCATTCTCAGTAAACTAACACGAGAACAGAAAACTAAACACTGTACATTCTTACTTGTAGGTGGGCATTGAACAATGAGAACACATGGACACAGGGAAGGGAACATCACACACTCCGATCTGTCAGGGGGAGGGATAGCATTAAGAGAAATACCTAATGTAGATGACAGGTTGATAAGTGCAGCCAACCACCACAACACATGTTTACTTGTGTAACAAACCTGCACATTCTGCACATGTATAATTAAAAAGTATAATAAAAAGGAGGTCATTAAGATAAAGTAATAATAATAATAATAAAATAACAGACCTCAACAGTACTTCTGAGGACCTGCAAGGAGAACCCAAATTTGTAGCTACATACTATATTCAAAGGCTTTCCAGAAGCAAAGCAAAATCTTGATCTGTGTTAGGTTGAACCATATGAAATTGTGATTTTTATATCTTGAAAATGGTCATATGCCAGCAATTTCATATAAATCAATCTAATGCACCACCGAGCACCAGTTAACAGACCTTGAGTGCTTTACTCTCCCACATAACGAAAAGATTTATATCAATCTCTCTCCTTGAAAAATTTTCCACGGCCACCCATTCTATATGAATCCTTTAGGCAGCACTGGAAGCCTGCTTACCTCAGTTCAGCCTCTCTGTGATCCTTCCCTTTCTTCCTCCCCAGGTAGCCTGTGATGATATTGCAGTGATGCCTGTTCCCTGAGCATGCTGTGCGTTTTCTCACCTCAGGGTCTTTGTTCAAGCTGCTGTTTCTATGTGGAATTCCCTGTCTGTCTCCACCACCTGCCAGATGCTTGCTGATCTTTCAAGATGGAAGTAAAAGGATACTACCTCTCCTAAGCTTTCCCTAGTCCTTTATGCACCACCATCCCCCAAGTCAAAATTTACCTCTGCTGCCTCAGCACTTTCATAACCTCTGCCTAACCTCTACTTTAGGACTAAATAAAACTTATTTTGTTCTGTTAACTGGACATATAGGTTTAATTCCCCAACAGATTTTAAGGCCTATCAAAGGAGAAACTAAATTTATCCATCTCACGTCCTTATGCTGCAGACTTACTAGAAGGTCATTACTTGTTGATTGAATTGGGTGATGCTTGTGGGCCACTTATCAACTCTCCATGACTTATGCCTTGCTCAGTATAAAGCTCGAGAGTGTAGCTTTTGTCTGACTACCACCTCTGCCATTAATATCTGAATACATTCTGCAAGTTACCTAACTTCTATAGCCTCTCTTTTCTCATCTCAAAAAAAATAATAATAATAGTCCCTGCTTATCAGAATTGTTATAAAGATTAAATGAGGTAATGTAGAAAACATGCATAGCCTGTCATGAAGTAAGCACTCAGAAATGAGAGCAGTTACAATTTAGTTACTCTTATAATAATTATGATTACCTGTTCAACAATTAACAAGTAGGTAATAGGTTTAAAGAAAGAATAATGCTAGAGGTGGATAGAGGAATAGACATTTTCAAAGAAGCCTGTACACTCTGAAAGACCAGAATGTGAAGACCCTGCTTGTGGTGGGCGACAGCCTGATGTGTTTGTTGCAAACATGTCAATCCCACTGTCCCCTGTTGACAAAAATGAATATTTCAACCCTTATTTATCACACTCACTGGGAAGATTGGACTAGATCGAAACTTTTGAGAAATTAGAGTTTTGGCTTCAATTGAGCTGTGAAAACTTGGTAGATAATTTCATTCTGTTGCCATTCAAGAATATGGTCAGGTGGTTTCCTGATCCTCTTCAGCCTGTAGATGGCCTTGGAATCATTTACATGAATGCCTTGCCTTGAGATCACTGCAGTCAGGTAACTACCTGCTCTCAGCTGACAACATTTCTACGTCTTCCAAGAACTAGAGCAATGACTAGAAGTCTGGGGACTGATTTTTAATAAGTCTTTCCATTTTCGTCTTAAGTGGCAAAAGAAAACACTCAGTATTCTCTACTCACACAACAATTCTAATACCAAACGTGTGGGTTTTCATACCAGGTAGTTCTCCAATTCTCTGTGGATGTCAACTGGATGATACTAAGTGCCTGTAATTAGCATAGACCTCACAAATTAAGGGCTCAGTCCCACAAGACTGCTCCCAACTTCAGATGCCAATCACAAGTAGCAGTTCCCCAGATTACTCACACTTCCATCCAACTTGAGTACAAATTGGGGGTTCCCACAACCCCCTCCTCAGATTCAATAATTAGCTATAACAGCTCATAAAACTAAAAAAGAAATTTACTTACTTTACTCATTTATTAAAGGATACAAATAAAATGCCAGAGAAAGAGGTACATAGGGAAAGCTCTGGAAGGGTCCCAAGCACAGGAGCGTCTGTCCCTGTGGAGTTGGGGCACACCACCTTCTCGCACATAGATATGTTCACCAACTCAGAAGCTCTCCACTTCATCATTCAGGGATTTTTAAGGAGGCTTCATCATGTAGGCAAGACTGATTATCAACCCAGTCTCCAGCCCCTCTCCCCTCCCTAATGGCTGATGGATGTGCTGAACGTCCCAAGCTTCTAATCATGGCCTAGCCTTTCTGGTAAAAGGCCCCAGCCTGAAGCTATCCAGGAACTCTAAGGAGTTGCTTCACTAGTACAAAAGACACTCCTGTCATTCTAGAAATTCTAAGGGTTTTAGGACCTCTGCATCAAGAACTGGGGATAAAGACCAAACATAAATTTCTTATGTCACAGGTAGAAATAGATACAGGGTGCTGCCCATTACATATGACTAGATTCTCCAAAACAAAGGCAGATGACATGGCTGGCAAGAGTTTCCCCAACAATCCCCACCCTGCAGGGAGGACAGCAGAGCATCTCTCATTTCCTTCAGAGGCTACTTTAGCAATGTGAGTGTGTAGTGGCCTTGGCAGGATCTTGCAATTTATTAAACATGGAGCTTAAGAAAGGGAAAAAGGCTGGGCATGGTGGTGCATGCCTGTAATCTCAGCACTTTGGTAGGTTGAGGCAGAAGGATCAGAGCCTCTTCCTGTGAATAGTTCCTGCTATTCCACATCTCATGTAAGAAATTCTGTTGGGCAACCTGTCACAAGTTTGGACGCCACTTGGATTGTCACATAGATAGACATAACCCTCAGTTTCCTAGAGTCATTCATTTTCTTTGAGTAATCACCACAGAATTATGAGAAGTGTCAAAGTAAGCCAGTCTCTGGGCTACGGGTAAGTAAATTGGCTGAGTTTCCCATTACTGCATCATCTATTCCCATATTCATGAAGCATAATATGACAGCAAGGAACAAACTGCCCTTTGAATGCCTGTTACACAATAGTGCTTAATTTTGTGTGGGCATTGGCATAGCACCTGGGGTTATTAAGCAGAGAGATTGATTTTAGAATTGAGTCAATTACATTAGGGTTGAAAGGCATCTACTTCTTTTGATAATATCCAGAAGAAGCAATTGATGATTACCCAGAAATCCGACCCATTGCATTGACCATACATCTAAAAATAATGCATGTTTGCATATTACAAATATTAATCATTACAGAAAATTATTTAACAAATCGAAAAGTAATAATTTGCTAGAATGCATCAGGCAGTATGCACACCTTGAAGACAATTTCTAACTAGTAATTCATTTTGTGACTTCTTTTGTTCTCCCCCTTTGATATATAGTCCCCATAATAAGATTTGAAAAAGTACAATTTCAGTCATGATAATTTGATTTTCATTTCTGACTCCTCTACAATATTCTCTCAGCATAGATGAGAGAACACTCCACTGTTTCCCCTTTTTTCACTGCCCACACTCATACTGAGGACCATCTCAAATCTCTGTTTGACACCAAACACAGACTGACAGCTTGGATTTCATTATCATTCACGAAGGAATTTTTCACCCCTTTAAAAAACTCTGAAATCTCCACATTACATTTGGTCAACTCTGCTTCCTGGACCAAACCCTGTGCAAAATCATACTTTGAGGCACCCGCCCACTAATTTGTTCACCCCGTGTCCTCTGAGCAAGTAAAGAATAAAATGAATTTGAAAGTGGAAGGGATTTTTCCAGAAGGGCAATACCCAGCCAGATGCAGGTACCTGCCAGGGACAGTCCCAGCCCACTCCCAGGAAGCCCTGTAGGGAGTAGAGAAAACACAGGGTCTAGGATCAGAAGGCACAGCTTCTAATCTTAGTGCTGCCACTCACTCCTGAGATTTTAGGACTGTCTCTGGACCCAGTTTGGTGATGGGTGAGATGCCATTTTAGCTAGCGTGGCTGCTCTCAGAATGGTGTCAGGCACATCATGGTGATTAGTAATTATCATTTGCATGAGAAGATGCATGGATGACAGGAGTGTTTTATAAATATTGGCATGATGACTGGCTCCCTCTAGTACAGGCTGAGGAAATAACCTCCATCTTCTGGAGCCCTCTGACCTCCAGAAAACATAAACAGAATGCATAGAAAATTACCCAAATTTTCTGTACTACAGATACAATCCAGAATTATAACCCAGGATAGTGTGAAAACTAAGAATGAGATCTGTATACATTCATATCTAGCCTAAATTCTGTTCTTAACCCAACACTCCAGAAAAAGTGAAATGCACACCAAGTAAAATGGAGACACAACTGGCTCCATAGAGCAGGGCCAAGTTCTTAAACAAAGCAAGGGGAGGCAGAGGCATTCCTGGTCAGCGAGCTGCCCATGCCCTTCTGAGCAGCAACCCTCAGCTCACTGACAGTCTCAGCCTGTGCCTTGTTCCACTCCAATTCAATAACCCAGGGCAGTTTGACAGTTTGCTTAGTGAGCAGCCATGAGGCCTACAGATCGTTGTAGATATCCTGCAGGGAAGCGGGGAAACTGACACAACATATTGATGATTTCGTAGTTTTAAAGAAATAGCAAGGTAACCGTTTTAAGATCTTTTTTTTTTTTTTTTTTTTTTTCAAGAAATTATCTCTAATGGTGGCATGCAAGTCCACTGGTTTGAAATTAGCCCATCTGAGTTTCATCACTTCTCCCTTCTCTTTCTGCCGTTCTGGAGAAAGGTTTGCTATACAATAAACAGTATCTGAAGGTGTTTAACCTTGATAAGAGAATAAACTCTTTGAAATAAATTTAGTAGACTTGCAGACACACCAATATTGAGCATATTTGTCAGCCCCCACACAACATACTTCCTTATGCCTCTGTGCCATGGTGGAATTTTCCAGACATTTTATGTTCTGTTCACATCTGTGACCTGAAAGTACTTTCAGGAGTTTTAAAGTATCTGTATCAACATGAACTGAAATGCATGCAGTCTATATTTTGTCTAAGCTATCAAAGCCATAACACCTCTCATTAATGTTTAGGAAATATTTAGATACTCTTTTTTTTTCTTCAAAGCATTCTCCTTTTACACTAAAGTTCATTGACGTGGGTGTTGGCTTAGAAATTAACGTAAGCACTGTACACAGACAGGAGCACTTTTAGGACCTTCTCCCCTAAAGGAGAGCATGCTCCATTATTTTGAAAAAACTGCAAACAAAATACCAGTTAACATAAGTAGAGTCTGTTTCCCTGCCAAAGTACCTTTGCACATGCTGTTTGCTCTGCCTAGAATAACCATCCCAATCCAACTTCAACTCAGCTCCCACATTCCTTCCAGAAGCCTGGCTTTTGCTACTCTTTCCACCAAGCCAAACTGTGTCATCTCTGCACCATTAATACCACACACACTCTGATTATTGCATTTGTCATCTCTAAATGTAATTGTGTACAAATTTACTTCTCTACTTGACTGTTTCTTTAAAAATAACTTAAGTTTTAAAATGTAGTATCTTACCCCTTTTTTAACACTGAATACCTAAATAACCCTGGATTGTTA